TATATAGAAAATACATATAAACGTAAATCGATCAATAAAGAGAGATGTTATTAATTAAAAATTCAAACAAAGGAGAAAAAATGTACACTCTTTACTGTCGGGCTTATCTCGAGATAAAGAAAACCCTAAATTTAATAATTCAAATAAAATAATACCATTGACAATTTAAAGCGTTACAAAAAGTCCAAAATATTTATTGAGCTAGAAATTAACCGCACTGTGTTTTTAAAATTAAGTTTCGCACTGTTTCGAATGAAATAAATGTTCTCACTAAATGTGAAAAATGTTCGTAAATGTTGAATGTTTTGATTGGCTGAGAATAGATGAATAACTAGAGATGACTCTAGAAGGGAATCTGGTAGCAGCATTAATTACTTTTAAAGACAGGTGAAAAAGATTGCTCGGACATCACCAAAGATTTAGCAACACCTCCGCTTTTAATGTAAATAAGAAGGTAAACTAATTACTTACAGTTGTTTTGTAGATCTGCAGACTTAAAATCGCACTGACTTTAAACTTACTATACTATACTTAACTGTATTAGTATGGAGCAAATTAAATTACCAACAAATAAAAGTAGTAATACATATAGATAGACTTAATATAATCTAGCTTGGATTAAAGTACTTTCTAAGATAGAATTGCTAACAACACTTTAAAAGAAAGTTACAAACTACTCACATCGAAGTGTTTTCGTTCCCTCAAAAATTTAACAAACTGTCCCCAAAAGAAAATCTCCCTTTCTCTCATTTCCGCGAAAGACACATACAGAAACTTTCTACTCGGAAATTTATTAATAGGAAAAGGATACCTATACTTTAAATTATATTATTTAGAAAAAGTATTCTAAAGTTTTATTAGGATCAACTCTATTGATGATATTATATGGTGTGACGAATCTTAATAGTTGATCGCGCAAAGGGTTGGATTTTTTTATTCAAGCAATAAATTTTAACTACAGTAATTTGTTTCCCCTTAATTGTGCAGTTCAATAGGGTACAAGATGATATTGCCAAACCACAGATACAGATATTGGCGTATCTTAAAAGTTGTATGTTAAAGGTCATATGGTTGTATTTTGAAGGAAATAAAAGAATGTTACAGTCTTAATTATTATTAACTATTACCTTAAAGTCCTTATATTCACATATATTTTTTCTTGTCATGAAATATTCAATTTGTGAGTGTGAGTGATGTTGTTCACTTTCATACGTAATAAATTGAGTTTCTCTTTTTAGAAATAATATGTTAAAAAGCGCAATATCTAATGCTATTGTTAATTCAAACCTATCATACCTAGCTTTATTTTTTGATCTAAAACCTATAGCCCTCCATATTATATTATATATATTAATCATAAAAAGCTATTCATTCGTTTTCACCTAGCCTTTTTGAGAAGCGTATACACACAATAATCAATACTTTTTTATCAAGTATAATTTTCACCAACAATATGTATTATCACTAGTTCTAATAACTTCGACTTCGTTACCTTGCGTTTCATTATTAGCAAATATACCAACCCTATTTTTAGTGCTACTTTTCGATACATATTGCTCACCTAGCTCTTACGAACTCTGTTCTTATCATCTAGTGTCTTGAATGCAAGTAATTTTTACTCTTCTTCTTTTAAGCGGCTTTGTTAACTCCCCACCCTTATCTGTGAGACTTTTACGATAGCCTTACCCAAAAATTCAAACAGAGGCTCAGTCTAATTCCGAAACACTTTACCTCAGAAGATGCCTTAGTATAATTTTTATTACATTGGAGAAGATCTTTTTATCATTATGGTCTAAAAAGATTTTCGAATATTTAATGACTGAATTCAGTGAAACAAATTTTACTGAATAATTATGGAGC